TGTCAGCACAGACACCGTCACAATTATGTGATTCCTGTAACAGTCTCCATATCTGTATAGCAAGGTTGCTGCAAGGATCAGCGCAGAAATAATTTCAATGATAAATAGTGTGTAATACATGTTGTTCAATGAGTACTATACAAATTATTTCACTCTTTCTTGCTTGCCGTTTTCTGTGATTCTTTCCAAGCCCGAACAGCTTCACTTTGAAGTTCTTCAAATCGTATTTGAGTAGTGCTCTTCAATGGCAATAATATTGGAGGATCAATTTCATATTCTTTTGGACATTCTTCATAGAAAAGAATTCCACTGTCTGGCAGAATAGGATCAAAAGTAATTGTTGAAGTATTTTCGTTAGATTTCCTTTCCGACATTTTATAAAACAAGCCTTTGTTTGTCAATCATTGTTCGGCGTTATAAATGTGTTTTTTTTACAATAAAACAAAGCAATAAGCCTATATAATTAAAAATTTACTAATCCCATTCCCAATTTACAAGATCAAAGATAATACGATTTACTTTTATAATTTGATGGTCAATAGTCAATGACAGCTGTCAATTCATAGTTGAAACTGAAAATGAATATGACAATTAAAATCTACGTTTCTGTAAAATGAGAGAAATATTTCTTTTTGGGAATTGAAATTTTCTTCAAAGTTAAATAATGAGCAAAATAGCACCTGATTGCGGAAAAAGCCTTGTTATAACTAGCAACACACTTGGCGTGGTAAGCGTTCGTGAGCATTGCCGCGAGAGACAAATTTACTATGGGAAACACCATTTACGCATCCTAATTACTATTGCATGTGAAACTGATATATTATTTTGTTGCACACTGGCTAAATTCACAAGGATGCGTCCTTTATAATAAAAAAAAAATTTGATAAAATATGTGAAAGACAATTTATTATCAATTTTTATTGTAGTTGTGGTTCACTATTTTAGCTATAATGGCTTACACATATAAAGACATAGATATAAACTGTGGCGGGTTTTTTTGTAGGACTATTTAAGATAAATATTTCCATCATACATTTCATAACTCTAGCGGTTTTGGCAGCGCACGCCGGAATAGCTTGCAGATGGTAGAGATTTTCCTACTTACTTGATATTTTGGACAATTCACATAATATCTTTATAAATTGTAGCCTATGTGTTATTAATAATTCTGGCGTGCGCTTCCAAAACCGCTAAGTTTCAATAAAATCGATTGAGTAGTTTTTACGTGAATGACTAGTTAACTAAATAAAAACATTCTTATATTGAAAATTCGTAAACAAGAAAGGACACATCCAAAACTCTAGCAGCATGTATGTCTAAATATGAGGTTTAAACAGCAAAAGGCTTCTTATTCTATGTATTTTAAGATAAAATTGGCAAATATTATTAGCAGAATACTATGTTTTTAAACTTATTTGAGGAATATCTTGTACTACATTGTACGACGACGATGAAGGTGTTTTAGAAATCTCATAGAATATGTATTAGAAACTTATCCTGTAAAGGTAAAAATAAAAAAAAACATTATATGGTATAACTCTTATTTTTACAGACACTACATGAATTGAAAATTTTTTCAATACTGTTATTACATGCGAAAATATACCACGTCTATACTGTCGACAATATATTATCGACAGTATAGACGAGAATTATTATTTAAATAATCATGAAGCGTTGGTATTAAGTCTAAGAAAATCGAATACAGCGATCGTTTTTAAATTGATCACTTGGAAGACTTTAGATTTCTATAGAAAATAATTTTCTTCGTAAATACCTCAAATTCGTTGTTTTGCTTAAAACTATTTAATGGAACTCGTTAAGGTATAAACTGCCTTTAAGTAGGCATTATAAGTAGAATTACTTTAAAGCACCATAACATTTACTAACAAAAAAGAAAAAAGATTTTGAGAGTAGTTGATAAAAATATTCTATAAAATATTCTTATGTACAATAAAACCTAACTTATTAGAAATATCGAATGGTTTAATGAATATTATACATATTTGATATACAATTAAGAAATTCAATAAAAGTTTCACCGCTGCAAAAAGTTGTTTACATTCTCAAAGATAATTGTGAAATAATGTATAGAAAATAACTTACACACAATAAATAATTTTCTTACATTATTTCTTTATGGTAATATACTTAATGGATAATTTTTGATGTTGGTAACTCAATCAAATTATAAAATATCCTAAGTATTACATGACTCAGCTTATTTTGTATTTAATGTCTAAATCCTACCTCCCTTATTCACCTTAATTTTTCCTTTCATGTACAAATTATATTATTAACTATACACGTTTTAAGTACTATTTACAATATATAATTGGTATCTTAGTAATTGCGCTTTATCCAAAAATGTACCAAGATTTAGCCAGACTTTTAAATTTTAATATAACGTAAATAAAATTGGACACTTGAATAAACCTGTGAACTTATCGTACGAACACGTACTCATTAATAACATCAGTTAAATTCAATTGTTTAAATTTCACATCCTTAGAAAGAACGCAACGCAAAAAACATCTGATAGGTCAAACTCTGATTCATGACCTTTTAAGGGTGAATGACCCCAAGCGCAGTGTCAAACTATATTCGCCTATTGTCTGCGACGCTTTTCTGTTCACAGAGTATTTGATATCGCGTAAAGCAAACTGTAATTTCCACAATATATAACAAACTTTGTAATATAAAAGCGCAATAATTTTTATTCGATTTTTTTATCTATTCCGTTGTGTGAACCATTTGGCATAGCACCATTGGTTATCGATAGTCCGTTTGTTTTGCTCTCATTCGCTGAACCATTTGCGACCATGGCCTTCTTCACTGGTTTTCCGTATGCTTTGTAGTAGAAGTCGTAGAAGAGATAGTAGAAAAAGATGGAGTTTGGAAGCGTGAAGACAACCGACCAGCGTGGGTATCCGCATTCGTAGAATAGAAGTTGTGAGGAGTGAATGAACGTGATGCAGAATTGAAGCTGTAATGAAAATAATATTGAATTAATCCAATCATAAAACGTATGATTTTTTAATTTTATTAAGAATTTTATCTAATATATAAAATTCTCGTGTCACAATGTTCGTTCCCATACTCCTCCGAAACGGCTCGACCGATTCTTGTGAATTTTTTTATGCATATTCAGTAAGTCTGAGAATCGGCTACTATCTATCTTTCAAACACCGAAATGTTAAGAGTCCACCCCTGAATTTTAATTTTTTAGATAAATTTTTTGTGACCCTTCATTTTCACCCCTCCACGATCACCTCCTTTGTTTATGTATAAATTAAAATCGAATGACTTGAACTCTGAGGTTTATATAGAAATTCACAGAAAAACCTAAAAAGTTTTAATTCCAGAAAACCTAACAGTCTCGGGGGTACATAGCAAAAGTTCGCGGGGGCAGCTAGTAATTGATAAAAAAATGTTGAATATCACTTTTTTAAATTTATTATAACTTCAGTGTACAGTACAGTGTGAGTCTAATAGTTAAAGCTGAGGTTGTGGGATTGATGCCCGGCTGTACCAATTTTCTTTTTAAACAAAAGTGATCAAAGAAGCAAACGCTGAAATTAGTCTGCCCCATGTAGAGTATGGGGAGACGGTATCAAACCTATAGATATAATATACATACACCCATTACCTACTTCTAAGAAAGAAGATAACATAAACATACCATTTGCATCGTCGTAATATATTTCTTCCAGAACAGATATCTCTGGTATTTCGGACCCAGTGCAGCCATCATGTAGTATGAGTACATAATAATATGTACGAAGGAGTTGATAACTCCGATCAATGTCCCATGGCCCCCGGGGTAATATTTCGTAGCTCCCCATGATATCATGGGCATCACTGTGTGATGGTACAAATGGAGGAATGTAATTTGTCTCTCCTTTTTTCGTATTACGAAGAATACCGTGTCAAGTAGTTCGGTCATTTTCGCTAGGAAATAAATGTAGACGCCTCTTGCTACCTGAAAATGTAAACAATTAACATTCAGCGTTCAATTTACAATAGGCATTAAAATAAAATAAATAAAATAAAATATGTTTATTATGGAATATAAGATACAGGTATCACTTATTCCACGTCATTAAATTTGAATAGGTAGGGATCCCTAGGCCGAGAGAAAGAGCCGGCGTACAAACTCTCGGTACTCTTTTAAAATAGCAAATCATCAAATAGCACTTATTTTAAAACAAATATCGCACATGAATCAGAAGTTGCCTGTCTAGCACTAGTCCCAGGCCCTTTTATCAACTAGATAATCGTTAACTTTTTACACAGCTTTTCTTTAATACATTTCTTAAATTTATTAAAAGGCAGAGATAAAAGAGCCTCTGGGATTTTATTAAAGAAGAGTATCCCTTTTCCAAAAAAGAACTACTAACTTTAGATAGTCTAGTACGGGGAAATTGCAGCCTGCATTTGTTCCGAGTATTAACATTGTGCGTATGTTGTATTCTAGTAAAATTATCACTATTTTTGTATACATATTACATATGTATACACATACATATTACATAATATTTTCATGAAAATATTGCGAGGGAAAGGTAGGTATATTAATCTCTCAGAGATTACCTACATTTTAAATTATATATTACACGAAAAGCCCTCTTCTGCAGGATGAAAATAGTTTCGAAATCAGCAACACGACCCCATAATAATAAGCCATAAGTCATTAAGCTGTGAAAGTAACTAAAATAAACAAGTCTAGCTGTATCGACATCAGTTAGTGAGCAAAATTTTAACCGCGTAAGCTGCAGAACTGTCTCTTCGCCAATCCGTTAATATGAGGGGACCACTGAAGTTTTGAATCCATGGTGATTCCAAGAAATACATTTCATTAAATTATATATAAGTTCAGAATTTTTGTTCCACATAAACGAATTTTACTTTTAAATGAATATTCAATTATTACACTGAACGTTATATAATTAAGAATATGTTTGACTTATTTATTCAGTATTTACAATTTTCTTAACCTACATAGAAATAATTCAAAGTAATAAAAAGAAAATTAAAACAAATTTAAAAAGTTTGGTTCTGTGGCAGTGTAGGTACCTCTAACGTTGGCAGAAATTCCTCGCTGTTTACTTCGCGCCTGGTAGATAGTACCGCGAACTTAAATCTTTAATTAGCGCCTGTGCACTTGAACCCCTCGGCCCAAATATTTGTTAAATTTATTAATGTTTAATAATGTTTAAAATGGTAAACATTGAGGAGCGTGTCGGATGTAATGCAAGGCAAACTGCATCCAGGAAATTACAAAAACAACAAAACCAATTATTTAAAATGGAATTTCCTAACGACAATACAATATATTGTATTATTTTAATACACATTTTGTTACGACTATTGTTTGAATCCCACATAAGAAAACAAACGACAACTCATGCATTATTCCGTTTATTTGACGAATTTTTGTTTATTCCAACAACCAATTTTATAATATTTATCATTCGCGGGAGTTGAGCACAAATAACAATAAAACATTTTAATTTTTTGGTACTTTTAATGTTGCTATATATGTATTTAAGGAAATTATGAAGTGCTCTTAGTTTTTGCCATGAGTTTTTATAAACAACAATTAACAAGAGAGGAGGAAGAGATAATAGAGGATTTTAGTTTTACTCTATATAAACCACTTGCGTACATCAATAGAATATAATCGAAATAAATAAATGTTAATTGCTATGTAACGAACGAATGCTATGTAACAGTTGAAGAGAGTGCCTACGTCTGGCTATACTCTTGGGACGTAACTCCGACGATTTAGGAAATCGCTACGCTTCTAAAACCAGGGGCGGATCTACTTAAGGGCTTTTGGCCCCATGCATACAAAGGGCCTCCAGTCCCCACTGTGAACAATAGGCGATATTTTACATTTAAAAAATAGCTGAAATTAAAAAAAAACCTATCATAAGGTTGGTATATCTCTGAGATCAACCCATGTGCGATGCGCGTCTATCGAACAAACGGGGAATTCCCCGTCGCTTGTTTTCGGACGGTGTATTTTTTTGCGTGTGCGGGGTAGTCCCCCAGCCTCATAGCCCAGAGCCCCAAATCACGATTCGCCCATGTATAAAACTAAGAAAGCCTTAGTGAGCAAAATGTACAGCCTTGGCTCGTACATTCAGATTCATTTATAGGCACTATTATCTTGTAAGGTACGGGAAAAACGTTGAATAAATTATTTTATAAAATGATATTTACCCGCATAGCTTCCGGTGTTGGTGAGAAATCAACTGGTTGACATTTCCAACTGTAAGTTCTCAACCAGCCTGCGTCGAGACCCTGGAATTTTATTTTATGAATGTTTTATAATAATTAAGGCTTAAAATGGCTAAATGTATGGTAAAACATGGCACAGTTCATGTACAGACGATTATTGGTAGGTAATGTGTCTTCTTAGTTGCTTTTCCACTAATAACGTCTTTACCAATGAACTGTACACACAAGTGAGGAACAGTCTTGTCAAAACGGTATTGGGTTAAGGTTTTATTCACAGAAGGCGAATTTTATGAATTTCTTTTCAATCCTTTGATTCTCCATCAGTTTCTATAAACTGATGTCACCTGAGGCCATAGAGTGTCCCTGAATAATTATTATAAGGTTTACCTCATAAAACAAGAAGATGCTGACAATAACTTGTAAAAAGTTATAAACCACCAGGGTCTTCTGCAGTTGGAAGGGTTTCTTGTCGGCCATGTACCTGGGACCCCATTTTAGTGTGAAGTAAAGATATAGTCCTATTATGGTCAGTCCTGGTATGGGGCTCTTTATTAAGAACCAATCGTTTGTTCTGGGATCTGTAAGTGGTATAAACATATTTACATTATTATTGTGTGATAATATACAAAATAGGAAGGGTAATTGTAAACGCAAATTGTAAGCAAAAGCTTGAGAACTAATAAAAACAAAACTCGTACCACGACCGAACAGACCCGGACTATTGCTATATTGCTATATATTATATATATATATATATTGCTAAACCTTCACATTCAAGAAAATATCAAGGAAATCATAAGATAACAGATGTAATTTCAAAAATATAACTATATTTATGAAAAGTCTTGAATGATATTCACGCGCCAAAGATTACGAAATTTAAGGTAAAAATTAGCTGGGATTATGATTGTTATTGTACATTAGTGTAATTTAAACGACAATAAAAAGTTAATGCCATAATAAGTATTAAAATGCATCTTAAAAGGATGTATGACCTGTAAAATCTCTGTTTAGTAATTTTGTCTTCATAATTAATAGGTATAAATTTTGTATACCTATTTGCCGTATGTATAATTGTTTTATATAAACATTACCCGCCGTAAACAACATACAAGTTTTTCATAAGAAACCCGTCTTCGAAGATCGCGTTAAGATGAATTAAATGTTAATTTAATTTAAACATTTTATTGATTAACATGAGTCATATAAATCTCGCAGCTTTGGTAACATACTTATTTTAGAATTTATATATCTATACAACCGAGATATTTATCAGATATTATATTGTACTCTGTCTTCAGTGTTTTATTTAAATTTCTATGAATTTTTGGGAGATTATTTGTTCTATGACTAGCAATATCAGCCTCATCGCCTTTAATATATATACCAATGGCGCTACAACCTTTAAGGATCTGAACCTTTAAGGAGGAGATTTCTGTATCTCTTCCGTGATCATTTCTAATACTGGCAAGTAGATGATCGACCTTCTGTGCTACACAAGGACGACTGTTTTGGTCTAAGACATGCTGGTTTTCTTACAATGTTTTCCTTCCCCGTACAAGCGTTGTTAAATGCGCATATAGATAGAAAGTCCATTGGTGCACAGCCGGGGATCAAAGCTACGACCCCATGGATACCCTCTTATTACGTTAATACCCCCGTAAATATCCACGGAACTTTAAATTAAATCGGAGTTTTTGCGATCCGCACGTTGAACCAACATATAATCTTCGGTGAATATTACTATAGATAAAGCTCAATTATCACGTATAAAGTTATTATGTGTGTAACTATGTCATCTTGGCTTTAGCATAGTGCGCTGTGTTATTGCAGTATAAAAACAGCTTAATGTATAGGTACAAATGCATGTAAAATTCCCACATTTATTATTCATATTTATGCACGTTTCAATAACGAGGCCACATACATTTTTGCTTAAATGTTTACTTAATTTAAATAATTACAAATAATTGATTTAAATAAAAACAATGGTCATTCAACGGGGCCGAATTCACAGGATTTCTTTAACAGTGGAGGATTGTTGTTGACGTTTCGGAAAAGTCAAGAGTTTTTGGTTTTTAAATACTCAAAAAGTAAAAGTCTTCAGTCCGGATTTCCTTTCAATTAATTTTAACAAAAATAATTGCCATTTTATAATTTTGGGAGATAAGGATTTCAAAACACAAGTCTCAAAATGGCCGGTAGGTTTTCTGACAAACGTATTAGTATTAATGCGATTGCAGCTTTCCTCAATAAATGTTACATCTAATACAAAAAAAATATTTAATCGATAATTCGGCCGGCAACGGCCTTCGGGCAATGTGAGTGTCGATTGCGGTATCACATAAAATCAGATGAACCCCTGTTATTTAAAAAAGAAACATTCTTAAATATCGAGAATAGCGATCATAGTGCCTTCTAACTCGAAATAAATGGTTTCGCTAGGAATCCTATATGTGTAACTCAACTCAACTAAAGGCATATGGTGGCAGGCATATATTTAGGGTGGCAGGGGTGGCAAAATGCCACGGGCCTCCAACCCAAGAGGGTCCCTGAGATATTATGTTCTATGGATGAATGTGAAGTCTCCAATACGCATTGGGCCAGCGTGGGGACTACAGACCCTCTCGCCTAAGAGAGGAGGCCTATGACCATTAGTGGGACATATACAACGTGTAATTGAGTAAGCTGAAAATCTCGAAGTTTATTAAAATTAAACTGAGTAGGGACGATTTTTACTGATAGGGCCACATCAAAAGAATTGCCACGAAAGAAGATTTGCCACGGGCCCCAGATGGTATAGTTACGCCACTGCCCCAGTTGTAATTAGCCAACCTGGCTAAATAAATAATTGTAATATATACCTTGATACAAAGAGATAAAGACGAGGTTTACGAGAATTAAAACATAATGATATAACTTTAATATACTATACGTACTTTTAATTATTAAGCACTTTTAGAAAATGCTGACAAGTGTTAATTAATTAAGATATTACGATCGATTCATATTCAGTAGAAATTGTAATTGCCGTAATTAATTTAATTTTGTTTACATTACAGTTATTACCGTTAGTCTAGTGGTTAAGTGTGTACTCTATGTACGCATTTAACACTTTCCTTAAATGTATGAATTAAACACGGCTGGCATTCCGAAAAAAACTATATTGTTCCTGGCTGTAAGGAAACACTCTTAGGGTAAGATTCCAGATTCGAACTATGGTGTCTATAAAATCCAATACGCCTTAAACCATCCGTTGTATTTAGGTCTGGATCTTAAGTCTAAATATTAGACCCCCAAACGAGGGCGTAGGCAGACCTACAAATGGTTGTTGGGCCACCGGCATTTTATGGTTAAAATATTGCTGCGTCATATATTTTTTTAAACTTATCCACGGGAATGATGAATTTGTGTTCTTTTTACATATTTTTCCAAAAAAAAATGTGTTACAATACACAAATATTTATTTATTGTTGTAAGACTAATTTACTTTTCGAAATGGAAACATTGACGTTTGTCTTGTACGTAAAAAATGCGAATTAGTTATTTTATTTTTGACTTAAAAACCAAAAGGAGGTTTACAATTCGACGTGTTTACAATGTTTTAAAAGTGACATGACACAAAAATAGAGCCTTCAAAGGGTGTTTGAGGCTAACATACGACTTAATTTTTACCCAAATAAATGAACTCACCGGCTAATTCTACGAAGAGGCGGTCGTAGACACTCGTTATGGAACTGTTTGATGTTGTCATTGTGGCGAATTTCGGGAAACTTCAGTTCTTTTTCGTCATAAGAGGCTCTCCTGCATTTTATTTAAGCTGTCTCCAGTTATGACTCTGTAAATAAAGGAATAGTTTTATTGTGAGCTCAAAAACTAAAATATATTTATAACGTGAACCTACTTAAAAGGTTCATGGTTTGAGTGAGATTATTATTGTTTCGGGCATACAAGGAAAATTTGTAAATCTGGAACAAAGCTTTGCCTCATAACCCAATTACAATAATTGATTTTATTGTAATTGGGATTATATTATAAAAAAAATATAGTACAATGAATTTTTGTTATTACATATTTTTATGCTGCAAGCAGCAAGCATCACGTTTCTAACTCAACGCGAATGCTAAAATAGTTAATTTTAATACAAATTTTACTGTAAAGATGACCCACCTGTCAAAGTCAGTGAATATAATTATGATATTTAATAACACCGTTATAGTAACGGATTAAATATAACGAATCATCGTTTTCGATACTATAATTTATGAATCACCTACTTTTTTTAAGTGGAATGTTTTGTGCTATCCTGAGACAATAATTCTAACCATACAAATAAAACATACAATAAATTTAACCTATTGATAAAATATATGTTGTATATGTTTGACAATTGCACAATTAACTATACTTACTTACATCTATAATTATAATAATATTCTTCATCTAATATTACGCATATAATAAAATCTAAAAGTACATTATTTTAAATATAAATTATTTTAATTTATGGATTGTTTTGTTAGTTTTAATTATAATCCATTTTTAACATGTTCTTTCGTATAATAACGCAATTATAAAAGGATTTAATGTAAGATGTAAACTTCGCAATATACATATTATTTTAATTTATTACTTGGCATTTTAACAACATATGAAGCCTCTATAAATCTATATATTATAAATCTATAAACACTGCAGATATAAACAGATAAAACGCGCTATTGTGAAAACCTAACCATTAAACATTAACTTACGTTTCCGATCTTCACACATAAAAGATCTTTAAGTAATAATAATAAAAACACTGTTAGTTTCTCAATATAGAATGATAACAACCATTGCAACCGAGCGCGTTACAACAACTGATTGTTTTTTGATTTTTCGCCACCCCTTTGCGATCGGCGGCCATCTTGATAAGTCAAGCAAGGGCGGCTGAGAACTGCGCAGTCGCGTATTATGCTACGAAAAGTTATTTGAATAATTGTGTCCAATCAATTATTGTGACAAACGTGTATGCAAGATTAATATTCGGAAATTTTCCATTTTAAATTTAAATGGTCAACAAAATAATACAGTGGTAAAATTAAGGGTCGCTTTGTATCGTTTACGAAGTTATCGAACTTTCATGTATTTTTAACATAAATGCAAGTTATTAAGTTACATATATATATTTTAGTTAATAATTAGAAGCGCAAATCAAATGTTAGCAACTTGAAGCCAAAATGAGCTCTTTAGTAATTATTGCCACTCTCATAAATTGTAACATTTTTGTCCAATATGTCGTCTACAGTTATATTGAACTGTGTCCAAGTTTTTTTGTAGCGTTGCAACCAATCTACCCCTTATATAATTTTATTTTATAAGCTCATGATTTGAACAATTAAAGCCAGTTGACACAGTATTCATATTAGTTATTGCTCGACTATCGAATAAATTAATTTAATAAAAAAAATTTATAACAGCGTTTAACAATAGTTTTTTTTTACGGTATACGGAAATGTCATGTTAAGTTTCAACCTACGTCATGACGCATGCGCGAAAAGTCAAGAAACGGTCCACATGCGTCTTTCTTCCTCAATGTTGGAAAAGTCAATGTTTACTTCCCGTGGCCTTGAAAGTAAGATGAAACAAGTTATTTCGAAAGTCAAGAGCAAATTTAATCAAGCGTATACATCTACGTTTATTATCTAATAATTATGTTGATTATAGTTATATGTTAATTATGCTATTAAGTATCACCACGGTGATCATTTTATTTGAAAATAGATGTTTTTGTTGATCATTTTTTAATAAAAAAATAATCATGGCGCTACTACCTTTTATGGTATGGGTCTCAGATTTCTATATCTGTTTCTTGATCATTTGTCCATCTAATAGGCAAGTAGGTGATCAGCCTCCTGTGCCTGACACACGCTGTCGTCTTTTGGGTCTAATGCTAGCCTGTTTCCTCACGATGTTTTACTTCCCCGTTTGAGTGAACGTTAAATGTGTACATAGAAAGAAAGTTCATTGGTGCACAGCCGGGGATCGAAATTACGACCGCAGGGATGAAAGTCGCACGCTAAAGCCACTAGGCCAACACTGCTCTTTCTTCTCCTCTTTTACATTCTTTTACATCTTCTACATTTTATAAATCTAGAAACGTTCCTTCTAGATTTTTGAATAAAACTATCTAGGATATGCGCTCATGTGTGTGTGGTTAAGTGAAGTTAATTGTTTAAATACAATCTATAATATCCAGTGACTTAATCATTTAAAAACTTGTGATGAAAGTTACGAACTAGGCCCTCTTAATGACACCCATGACTGCCCTGGGCATAACTTGACAAAATAGACATTGACCAAAGACAATTAAAGTAATATCTAAAAAAAATGTCTTTGATTTTACTTAATAGCTGTAATTCTAGAACTACTGCTCAACACTGCGGTAGCAGAGCCAACAATGTTAGAATGTTAGCATCTCCGTTAATAAGCATAGCATTATTTCTACGTGAAGCGAACCATACACCTCCTAAGTTTATTATAACATAGGAGTATATATTAGGTCCTTACATATGAAATTGGCGTATTTCGTACTGGCCACTTTAATCACGACATTCTCCTCTTTGGTAAGGAATTCCAAATTCAAATTTGTACAGCTATATACTCATGTATTTGTGCTTCGATGACCGTCATCCATTTGTTTTTTTCTTCTGTTTTTGTTCTGTTTGCGTCACTCATTTTACAAAATGGAAAACTTAAAGTATCGCATTATTTACGAGTATTAATTAAATATATTATATTTAAAAATATTCGACTTTTTGTTCCTCCCATACAAAACGCTAATTTCATATGTAAGGACCTAATATTTACTAATGTTTTCATACTTTAGTCCCAGTTGAATTAATGTTTAGTTTGTTTAAATCATATCTACATTTTTTTTGTTTATTTTTTTTACATTCTACTTACAATCTTATAATAACATTTAGGTTGTATAAATATTGTTTTTGTAAACTGCCCTGCCGATACCTCACTGGCCTAAATTAAATGTAAATAACCGGCAAATTTGCATTGATAAAAATATCAAATTGTTTTAGTTCCGTATCAACAGTCAATATCGGCAAGTTTACGAAGGCTATTAAACAGGTCGTAATTATTAACGGTCCTTGCTCGTTTTTTTTGGTAGTGTGTAGTGTAGAGTAGTGTGTGTGTTTCCGCACTTAGACGCCTATTTGGACGGTTGTGCGTGTGGCTAATTAAGCCACCCTACCTCCTTCCAGAAGCTCAGAAGTTGGGTACTTCTCACTTCACGGAGTGCTTACTGCTCCTAGGATTTCTGATCGTTGGGAAGCCGCAGCCAGGATGACTGATTCCTTTGCGCTGAAACAGTCTCTGCACAAGGGACTGTCTGTCGCGCCAAGGACAAAGAGATGTTTACATCAATGGCCCGTAATTGTTCCTATCATTTTGAGATTAATTCTGTTGAGGCTTAGAAACTTTTTCACTAGGAGGTTTACTGCTGGCAGTGCCATTTTGGACTGTCTGCAGTACGCGTTTTGCGACCAACAGTGATTTTTGAGTTCTATGGATCTTTGTCAAATTCGGATTCGCACTTGCGAGAAGGGCAAGGGAAGGAGCGAGTCCGCCGGCAGCATTAAACAGTAGGACATAGATTTTTAAGAAATAAATGTATAATAATTTAAATAACAAGTTTATACTAGAGGTTACGCGTACGGGGTCGTACGGGCAGTTATGTAATGATTTTTACATTTGGTGTGCGCACTTGCACGTAAATTGTAGGTAAACATTTTTAGACCTAAAAACCTATGTTTGCTTCTAGCGCAATATACCTTGCCTCGAGTAGCTGTGTCTATCCGCATTTAATTCTATTTGTTTATAAATAGTATCGTAAGGTCCAGCAAATAATGCATGTTCACACAATAATTGAAAATCCTAATCATGTCCTTCCAAGTACACAAATGAATTACGAATTGTATGACCCAAAACTTAGCGATTAAAAAGAGTGGCGGAAAGTTTCTTGCCAGTTCTTCTTGGCTGCTCTACGCCCTTGACTTGCGAACTGGTAGTGAATATAAATTTACAATTAATTTAACTTCTTTTCTGACGTTCATAAGCGTACTTGTTTACCTATATGAATAAAGTTAGTTTGAGTTTGAATGAACGGTTGTAGGAACGTTTCAGAAGCGAGCGGAGTAAATAACTAATATGAATGAACCCTACTAAATGCTGAGTATCATTGATACGGCCATTCAGCGTTTAATAGAACCAAGTAGATAGATCTCCGTCCCACGTTTTAACAAACGGGAGAAGTAGGTAACGTTTGTGATACGAGGTCTTGTCAACTGGTTGTGAACGAGTCAATATGCCAAGAAAATGCTTTACGCTGTTGCCATTAGGGTCATATTTGCTTACTGATGGATTGTTTCGACACAGTCGTGGTTCGCTAGTTGTCCCAAATACCTAGGACCCTGTAATTTTGATGCTAAATATATTATTTATGTTTACTAATATTTAAATAAGAAGTCCTCCAACGAAAAAATCTAGGAAAAAATATTTCTATAGGGACGTGTCTATGTCTGACGTTTCACTAATGATTTTATCTTTTATACAATAAGAAAGTGCGTCTTAAATAAAAAAAACTAACCATTAATCATTAAACTCCACTCACAACGAAAAAAACCATAGTGCCGACAACTTACCTACATATTTAACTATTAAATTAAGTAAACTGTTTTTTTAAACAACTTCAAATTA